GAAACCAAGAGGGAGACGATCCTCCTCCTTTAGGGATCTGCAGAAGGGGGCGAATAGTTGTGACCCAAATTCCTTATGGTCTGGGGACTGGAAATTAGGGACATCCTCATCTCCGGTGGCTGCGACCGGTGGAGGTGATGTATCAGTTGCTGGTGATGAAGCTATGGTTTGCGTAGAAGGATATGAAGCCGATCGCATTGTGGGTTGAGAAGCAGCTGCGGAAAAAATGGTTCTAGTTATTGGTTGCTCATCAACTAAAGAAGGAAGAGTCCTGATACCCAGCCTCACTGTACCGGGAGCAGTGAATGGGACTCGAAAGCGAGAATTGGCATTCTACACTAAGTCACACTCTCCCCAGAGCGCTTGAACGTTATTCTCGATTGGCGTTATAAGCTCTTCTGATTGAGCATTATGTTGAGCTGATGAAGATCGTTGTCTTCTCTGTAGAGAAGCCTCTTCTTCATTGGCTTCCCCATCAATATCAATCACCATAGTATTTGTGGCTGGCTCGAGCGCGACATTTTTCACCCTTTTATTTTTCCCTCCACCTTTTTTATTTCTTGTTCTCCGGCTAAGGACTCCGAGAGTAAGCACCTAAACCGGAAGCAGGTCCGATAGCGCCTGTTCGAATGAAGGCCTCCTGCAACAACCTCGTCGCATCTGTAGGATCATCCAAAACTTCCTCCTCGGGGACGATAAAGAGGACCTGAATTCAATGGAAAGAGAAGTTAGCCAATTTTCTTATACGTGAGGTAAAAACAAGATTAGTTCGAGAATCAACTTACCATGATTTTTGGCTTTCTACCATTATTTGAGAGCCAGTTCTTTCCACCGGCGGGTCTCAAGCGTGGTAATATCCAAAATATTCTGGACCTACTAGTCCAAACCTTCGACACTTAGTGGTGTCCACCGAGTTGCTTGAATAGTGTAAAGAGAAGGATCAGTAATAACATGAAACAACCTTTAATCATGGAAAAAACAGATGTTGAACTTACGTGTACGAGTCTATGACTCGAGGAAAGATGGAGTTGTGGCCGTGATGATGTCCCTGGTCACAACTACAATGAACAACTCCATCCATCCACGGTCATTTTCATCATCCATGCTGGTGAGCAAAGCATGGTGACCACGTTTGCTAAAGTTTATTATTCCCCCACGAAAAATCTTGGGGGAGTAAAGATTCATCATGCGGGTGAAGGAGAGGTCTTCCCCCGTCTCCTGGCATAGCCGCCGTAGACAAGCTACTGTCCGCCACACAGAGGGAACACCTGTGCCAAGAAAACTTGATACCAGTAGCAAAATTTCAAGATTACGGGGTCAAGTCCCCCGCTCAATGATAATGGGCCCAAAGTGAAGAGGCAACTGTAAACGTACGTAAAACCCTTCTTAGGGAAGGTTACTCGCTCCTCCAGATCGGCATAGCGATGATGTTCAAATCATGTAAATCACAATCCTCATTCATAGCAGGAATGGTAGAAGGACGGATGAAAGAAGGGCACAAACCATGTGCGGGAGTTAGCAGAAGGAATCTGCTCTTCCAAATTCTTGGTTGTACTGAGCCTCACGGGAATAATGGTGCTCACCATAGGAGAGGCAGCATCATCGGTGCTTTCTTTGTTTTTTGAAGAGATTGAGTACTTGGAGGAGGAGGCCATGGTTAGTACGAGGAAGTAAGAATTCTTTGAAGAAGAAGTTTAAGGAAGAGTGAAAGCAAGAAAGAGTTCAGTAAGAGTAGTTGAGAGAGTTCGAAAAATTGTGAAGTGTAAAAGAATAAAAATAAGGCGTATAAGTAAAGGAATAGTCGGCTAAAATCGTGGCCAAGATTACCTCGAAAACTGGCGAAAGTATTGCTAAATCGTGGAGTGACACGTGTTCTGGACATTAAATGCGGAGAGACGTGTGTCTAATCAAGCATCATAATCTTTTCAGAGGAGATCAGAAAATTTCTGCCGAGAAAGGTATCTTCACCAATTTATGATGACACAAAGATATTCTACCGGAAAGCAGGGGGACTATCTGTATAGGGTAAAATATGTTCGTATTAAATACTCGTATAATTGAGCGACATGTAGAACTGGAGACAGACAAAAAACGAGGAAAGTGGAAACCATGAGTGGGGGCAGCAGTTTTGATTGTCACCAGGAAGACCCCGAAGGGAACATTGTTAATGAAGACAAACGAATGGCTGCCACCCGATAGCATTCAATGAAGAATATTCTGTAGTATTAAATACACAGTCCGTTATAGAAAATTTTGTCATTCATAGCCTGCCATTACACATTCATCAATGTTCCCCCATAATGTCATTTAAGAGGGGCTTGATCCTAGGACCTTGTTCCTTAGGTTCAGCTATAAATAGTGACTTCAATAGCCATTGTAGGAAAAATAAATTTTCTGACAAACTTATGCTATATACTATTCAAAAGCTCAATAATACTTTATTTCTTGTCTATTGATATTCGTATTACTGCCTTCGGAAGCTCTACTACATGAACCAAGCTATTTACCGTCTTATCTCGATTTCAAGGCTAAGTCTTACATTTTATTTAATTTATTTATTATTTTAGGATCAAATTGATTCGCTTATCTATAAATCACGTTACAAATTCAACTGAACTATTTTACGGGTAATTATAGTTGTAGTAGTATATTCAAAATTGGTTTTAACTTAAGCAGCATAGTTGATATATTCTAGTACTTGATTTATTTCGCAAAAAAAGGCTGACACAGACAAACTTGGAGGCGGTTATGCTAAGTGATTAAGATTATGGTTTATCAGCAAATTGCATTCTAGACATCAGTTCAACTTTATTTCAGGGTGTCCTGTTTGGTCATGGATTCAAGCAATCACAGCTACAGTCTATACACTTGTAGCATTATTGGCATTTGATCAGTAATGATTCATTCAACTATTATAATTTGTAAAGTCTAAAGATTCAACTATTGGCAATAGACTCAAATTTGAACTCTGTCATTTAGTTTTGCAAGCGTCGCCTCCTAAAAATTGGATATCTTGGGATCGAAATTTGCATCAAGCAAGATGCATTGTATGCTTATTTTACTACGCACAACATGGAAATTTCCATCGTGATGAAGCCAATCCAGGGCATTCGCGACGCCAACAACATTTTTAACCCTTAGTGGAAAGTCTAAGAGTTTTGCCTTGTCGTCGGTTGAATGCAACCACTCATATAAGTTTCTATTTAGGCATGGGTATGCGAATAAAGTCCTACATTGCTAGCTAAAATGATTGAGAATATACATATATGATGTAAGAATCTCTTTTTAATGGTGTGAGTCTTTTGGAGAAAACCGTGAAAAATTGGCCCAAAACAGACAATATCACATCATGTTAAGAGTATTATGTTGCCTTAGACTACACAGAGTTGTAATCTCAGAAACAAATTCTTCCTCCAAATTTTCTGAAACTTGGAGCCTCTTTGTGGAAAAACCAAAAAAGGACAGTCCGGTACACTAAGATTCCGCTATGGTCGAGGTCCGGGGAAGGGCCGGGCTATAAGGGTTTATTGTACACAATTTTACCCAGCATTTCTGCAAGACTCGAACACATGACCTCATGGTCATATGACAGCAACTTTACCAGTTACGCCAAGACTCTCCTAAATAGGAAAAACAAAAAGATAATAAATCCTAGGATAAACGGGAGAGTTTTGTCACACCTCAATTTGTTTGTTGGCACGGAAAATTCTGAACCTTTGTTGTGATGGTAACCAGAATTCTCAGAAGGACAAGCAACTTTCCTATTCTTATAAGCAACCACAATTACTTGTACTAATATGGTAAACAAGTTTTTGCTAGCCTTTTGCTTGATATAAAGTGGAGAAGCAACAAAAAACAGCAGACTAGAGAAGAACATAATAATAGCAGGAACTCCAAAGCCAACTTTCCATCCCATGTGATCTTGAAGATATACAATACCGGTCATAGCAATCAGAACAAAGATCATAGCTGAAGCATAGTACCAGTTAAAAAAGGTTTCCAATACTTTGGGACCATTGCTTTGTACACTTTTCCTAGCATTCCCTTCCCAATTTCATTGTATTGGCTGAAGTATGAAGTCACTTTTGATAGTTCCATAAAACTCATTCTTGTAACAATCTTTTCCAGCTTTAAAATCTGAGGAAAATAACATATCTACCATTAGAACATTATTTTTCTTCTCTATAATCAAAGTTTGATTCAGTAGTATCTCATCCAATTCAATTTATGGGACATAGTTTGACTGGCACATAGTTTAAGAAGATAAGAATACTTTTGAAAGTTATGGTCTTAAACGTGCCACAAAACACTTTTGTGGCTATTAATGCTTATAGGTTGCGGTCATTCTTGATTGATGTAGCTTCGTCGGTTGTTTTGGTACGAATGAGGCATAGAATAGTCAAAATTTTGGATGTTGTTAGTAGAGTAGCCAGCCTTCTGGCTATGTTTTCTGTTACTCCATTTAATTTCATGAAATACTTGACCCAATTTAACAACATTTACCCAATATTCAGAGGATCCAAGATAATGAGTATAAATATCTTCTTTAACTTCTATTCTAACAGACTTAATATCTTTTATAAGTAACGGAAAAATAAAGTCGAACTAAACGGTTCAACTAGAACAAGTTAGGTTTACCTCATTTCACCATACCTCAAGAAGAAAATTCAATATTTCCACCATTAGCTTATACTTTTTGCTAGTAACTAGTAATCAAAAGAGATATAAATAATTTTATGAAAAGAATAAAAGGCATACATNGTGGTCATCGATGTAGTGCACGGGATGTGGCTGCTTTTCCTTTGACCAGAAGTCTCGTGTTCGAGTCCTGGGTATGGAAAAATCCTTGGTAGGAAGCGCTTCCCCCCGAATGGGCCCCTAAGTAGCGCGAATCCAAATATAGTCGGGCTCCAATGCGAGTACCGGACACCGGGCGGGAAACCAAAAAATAAAAGACCATAATAACAACCTTAGAATGTATAGGTTCAACTTTTATTATCTCAATCACAAGCATCAACACTGAAAGTTAAAGCATTATTTTTAGTATCAAAAGTTAAACCTATGCCTTGAAGCTGATTAGTGCCTATAAGTGTAGATTTATCATCCCATGGCATAAAAGCTAGGCAATAGTAGCCCCCAATACTTACTACAACTCGTCCGTCTACTAGCAGCACCTCTTGCCTTTCAGAATAATTGCCAAAGTAAAATTTGATAACTGGGAAGTATACTTCAGCACCATCTGGATCATCTTCATAGCAAGTGTCAAATATAATAAATCCATCTTCGATCATTGTATAATCTTTTACTTCTTCTCTGAAAATGTCGCGAAATATAATATAATAATCATGAGGAAAACGAGTAATTAATGTGCCTGTATCTATTATAACTCCATGAGTTACTTTTTGACCATTCCACCACGAGGGATCCACCGGAACTTCCTTATTATTAATCACAATCTTGAAAAGATTGACGTAGTACCAATGAGGACTTAATCGATTTTTTATTAGTTTTGCCTCTGTCCCATATGACCACGGAGCTTTATTAAAGGTGAGGAAAGATGGGTGTACTGAAGTAGCAGTTGGTAGACATAATGCAAATATTGATGAACCTAATTGAGATGGTAAAGAATATCCACCAGTAGTTGTCAAGCTTACTCTTTTACTAAGGCCAAGAATCCCAGAAAATGTACCACTGAAATTTGGACCACCTTTTTGATCTATACTACAACCAAATATTATCTTGGCTTGTGTATTGTCTGAAGGAAAAGTGATCACCTCAGATGCCATAAAACCTTTTGTTGTTTCTCCAGTTATATATTGTTCCATATAAAAACATCGTTTGCTGCCTAAAGCGCAATGAAAATCATGATCTGCACTTATGCAAGTTGAACTGTTTTTAACGCAATCAAGTTCTGTGAAAGTTTTGGAAGTGGTAGAATCGTATATAGTATTATAAAGCGGTTTGAAGCACTTATATGCAACACAAGGTGCACATTGCCACCAAACTAAGTAACTTCCACTGTCTATTAGCAAGTAATTTCTTGTTCTTTCACTACCAAGCAACAAAAGGGCAACATAGTGACCTTTAAAGTAGTTAGTAGGTGCTGCCTTTAGGACTTGATCATGTATCTTACTCCAATTATGCGCGTACTTCTCTTGAAAATCGGTCTCTTTTTTTATTTCAGTATCGCGGTATCTGAACTTTGATGCCAAGTATATAGCTCGAGCATGATCTTGAGCAAGACGATTAGTAAGAAGAGACTCATAGTCTTTGAATTTTGATTTTTCAAAGACGTCGATATGGTAAACACTAACAGAACTAGACGGCGTTGGAGGATCTCGAAGCTTGGATATATCAAAAGACATGAAAGCTTTTCTAGCTTGTTTAATGGAAGAAGAATTAATCTTGAAATATGATTTTTCATTGGTTAAACTAGCAAATGAATTCCAATGAAGGATTGATATAAGAAGAAGAAGAAGGAGGGGGTTTTCCATTGGTAATTTTGATTTAGTATTAATTTGGTTTGAAGCTTGAGCAAACTGCTTCAATCATTTATAACATTGGTTTATGTTTTATCTTTAAAATATTTCCAACTTTTGTGTACAAATTTGGATAAAAAAAAGAGAATTTAATGTAAATACAAGTTTGAATCATTTCACACTTATTTTTGTTAAATCATTAAAATATACCTATGCTTGTTTGGTAATGTCCAAACAAAGCATAAAATCTTGTAACATTACTTAACAAGAATTAAATATGAAATTTATACTATTTGGAAACTTTATTTTGCACCAATCGCGATTAAGGTATTTTTTTTTTTTTTTTTTTTT